CAGTATTCTTCTGGGAATTGAAAGTCAGATTTTCTAACATAGAATTCCTGCTTTTCCTTTCAGAGAAAGCTAACTAAAAGGGTGTATGATTGTTTAGAGATTCAGCATTTACTAGAAGAATGGAATGCTAGGAAAATAGGTCTTTAAATCAAACACTACAATGCCGGGTCTGTCAGCTGTTCTTACTACAGCTTAGGCAATTAATGTGGATTTCGGTACCAGTGGTAGAGAGTCACACCAGTTATGCGTAAGAGTGCGCTTCCTTACAGAAATCTCTTAAGGCAAGTAGGGTCTGTAGATCCCAAAATAGCCCTTTCTTGAAGGGAAGTAAATCATGTGTTGTTTCTCTGAAAACTTACACTAATGATTAGCAGTGTTCTGGTCCATAGGTACATGGAGGCCATGGACAGTGCTTGTTAATGATTTATTCACGTGCTGAAGTCTCAACCTGCAGAAGTTGGGAATGAGCTGGCTATTTTTGAATGGCCAGCTTGATGCACCTACTGAGATTTGGATTTTAGGAGGTACTCAAGCACTTCTTACCATGTAGCAGCAAAATTAATTAGTATTTGAAATTGGACATTGAAATGTCAAAAAAAAAAGTCCTGTGTAAAGATTTTTTGCTGGGATACTGCTGATTAAAGCAGAGTTAGTGAAAAAACATGCTGGCTGCTACTTACAGTTGGCAGATAGCAGTACTCTACAGTCCTAGCAAACACCAGGATCTACCTTTTATTAGAAGAAAATACTACTCTAATTGGAACCACTTATGTGTTAACATTATCAACTACAGGAAAGTCTGTTGGGTTCTTCTTAACAGTAAATGAATGTATTAACTGTTTCATATTACGGTTTTAGTTTAATCTTGCAATGCAAAAACTGTAACAGCAAAACTAGTGTTCTTGCTTTTTCTTGTCCATTTAATGTGCAATAAGCTTATGTTCAGAAAACAGGAAACCTTGTCTAAAACTCAGTCAGAAATAATAGTATGTCATATTGTCAATGAAGCATTGTAATAATTTGATGGCTCTAGACTAACAAATATTTTCAGTTCTGTAGCC